GGTATATGTTTTTAGCAGTATAGCTGAAATACCAACCCGGTAACTAACTCTGTACATGTCAAAACTGCTCATAGTTTATAGTACCTATTTATTAGTAACGCAGACCTTTGTCATAGGCAAGCCGCTGTAAGGTAAGCCAGGTAGTGTGATTAATGATGCCTTAGTGTGAGTTTTGGTTGAAAACAGAAACAAGTATATATTACTTTTGCCTTTGCAGAGTGAGCTAATATCCCATAAAGTTTATATAGGTAAAGCAGTGAAGAGTTACAGAACTTTTTCTCTATTATTTTGGCTAAGTGCCAACGAGCTCTACTGCCCAAAGGCTGAGCAAAAAAATTTCAAGTCATAATGGGTAATGCGATCGAGACAATAAATCACAAACATTATTTCATAGCACCAAAATATAAAGAAAAAATTGTTTTAATATAAATAAGATACACAATGTAACAAAACTAAATAGACATTATAAGTTCTTTACTTAAAATGAAAGTCAGTGGGTAATTAAGTCTTATTAAACCAATAAAATAACAACACATTTGTTTCGCTAATTACAAAACCAGCGTTAATACTCTTCAAATTTATGAGTCAGAATTTATGTGCAATATAAGTGTTGCAACACCATGCGAAGTGTAATAATATATTGTTATACAACAACACTATGGAAAGGCGTCAACTACATTCACTATACATATTTCTACAAATTAATATAAAATAATTTTCAACCTTTATCCTACACCATCTATCATATGTATAAGATATATATTTTTTTATTCTGAGAAATTTAAATTCAATTGTATACATAAAAATATTTCAAAAGCAACGCTCTCGGTATTTGGACCATGCAAAGGGTCCAAAGTTTTACAAATTAAATAATAAAAATTAAATGACAGACATCGGTATATGTACCGACGCGACGTCTGACATCCATTTATTTCTGACAAAAGCAAACTGAATAATGAAACATGTTCTGATAAATGGTTAAAAAGATTACTTATATAAATGATACAGATTGAGCAAGTTTGCAATAAATACATAGAATTCGCAGATAAAATATTTCTTTAAAATTGCCATATACAATTCACACCATTACCTACACTAACAATACCATTTCTCCACGACGGAAGCACATGGAGATAAATTACCCATTAACTTGGGTAATTTGATACAGTATTCGCAATATAACTCTTAAAATGACTCACCAGTTATATAATTTTATTTCAACTATTACTCATGTTATTGCATTAATTTTAAAAACTCTTTAAAAAAGATAGTAAATTTCTATTTCTTTAAGTAAGATAAATTTTTAATGAAGGTATATTGCTATCTTATATGGTAAAAAAGTCGTCCTGAAAAATATGTGCTAATGAAATTACCAAAGTAGAATAAGTGAAATTGGTCGGTATAAAGAAACGTTATTATAATTCCTACGAACAACAAAAAGAGGATTATTAAGAGCTAGGTATCGGTTTAATATTTAAATGAAAAAATAAATAAGAAGCAACTTAAATTTTATCATACAATGTTAAGAATATGTATCATAAACACAAAATTTGTTATTTATTTTATTAAGTGAATGGTGACTTACGAAATATTTATTGCATTTTTATTAAATAAAAATATTTTAAACTTTGTAAATAATCCTTGTCCTTAGAAAATCTCTGACGACATACCTCGACCATGAGATTGACAATAGAAAATAAAAATACTTGCTACTGTAAGTACAAATTTAGGATTATCTATAATATTCCCATATTTGTTCTACAATATATTATTATTATTATATTTAATTGTATTTATACATAAATATATACTTTGTCAGCTATAGTCTAATTATAAATTTATATGAATTTTTACTGTACCAACCTACATCGAGAAGTGGTAAATTTTTATATTCAATCTTAAAAACAAACAAGAGTGCTGTCTGCCATACTCCATAATTTCTAATCAAGCAGAACTTCGAACCTAAAAATAGCAAACTTTTTGATATTGCTCACATTGAATTTTATTATTATAAGAAAGTGCTTGTGCTTTTCTAAAAAGGATAACAAGGACAATAATATGAACAAGACTCTGTAAGGGTTTCGTTCTTGCTTAGTGTGAGATTTAACTCTATTAATAATCGTAGCTTGTCGGAGACAAACGAATTACACACATTAGACTGGGACTAAACGAATTCTCGAATAGAATAGTCCGCACTAGCCATGCAAAGGTATGGAATCTCTCTCTGGTATTATCAGATTAGAGTTGTAGTATCCTAAACATCTTCATTAAAAGGCTTTTGTGAACTTAAATGGGTTACTATTTTAATTATTAAGTATTTATTAAATATATGTAATTGATAATAGGAAAGTATTTAAATTATAAAACATATTTGAAGAATAAATGCATGCCGGTTGTAAGCATATGTATATGTGATCAATGTGCATAAATATTTATTAAACTATAATATTTATAAATAATGAACAAAGGAAGATACAAGAATAATTTAATTGATGCAGTATATTGTTTCCAACTTGCAGTGTCACAAAAGATATTGAAGTATTCGTAATATTTCAGTATAGTATCTGAATACTGTGAAATAGAAAAAGAAAACAGTTAAGAAAATGTGACCCAAACGTAAATTAAATGTTTTATATAATTTATAAAACAAATGAGCTTAGTAATACAATTCCATAACTGAATATGCCACTTGACGTTAATAAATATGCGTAAGATTAGATAATGTTGTAGAGCAAAATTCATTATCATGATTGACTGAAAGTGTTATAAATATCGCGCTTGAAAAGAAGTAGATAGGATTCTACATAGTTTATGGATTTTCTTTCTGTAATAAACTAAAAGCCTTCATCAAATTCTGGATAACTAACATTATTATTTTGATCTCTAATGTTCTTCAACTCTCGCTGACTCCGATATATATGAATTTTATTTTTATTATGTGAATTTTGCTTCATCTGTATACTTAAATTGCGTTCAAGGATAACTTAAAAATGTCGAGAATGCAGCGAACATATTTAAAGAGTTATGTAATTTATTAAAGAAGCTTTCAAAAAATTTTATTTTATGTTACTAAGATAATTAATTTAAAATCCGAAGTACACTACAGCTTTGTACATTATTATCTAAAGAATGGATGATAAGGAAAAACATTAATATTAATTAATATTTTTCATTAATATTAATTAAATAGAAACAGTATGTAATTTAGAAGTAAAGATCTGAATTTAAAAATTTATGCAAATACACAAGATATTAAGAAGCAGTGTGTAGTTCAAATAAAATTTCAAATTAACTGAAATCATTTTTTTATAATCTTGTTATGCAATTTTGGTTTTTTTTCTTTAAGCAAGTTAGTTTTGAATAAATTTGCGAGGGGACTAATGTTACGCGGTCACCATAACCTACAAGTTGTGTGTTGTTAACCTTCTAATATCGGTATAAAATCGTTCGGTCATGTGCTTAAAACACATATCTTAGAAATGAGATCGGAAAAAACTTTTAAGAAACGTAATCTTTCATGCAATTCCACTGATAATTAATTTACTATCTTTACATAAAAATAAAAACAATCTTTTTTTAGTATCTCGATTTAAATCTGTCCTGAAATTAAATCTGTATATAACACAAACCAAAGATTTTAAATGCATTTCTGAAATCTACGATGGATTAATCTATCACACAAACTCGACTCGCGTTACAAACTAAAAGAGAGGCTTGATCTCGTTCGACAACTGCTAATACTTCTGTGTATGTAGTTCGCCCCTGATTTAAAATATATTATCCTATAACATATTTTTTATAGTATAAAATATATGTATTTGATATAAAAAAAAAACTATAAACATATATGACAAAATATTGCCTTGAATTAAAAGTTTATAAAATGTTTGATTGAATATTTTTTACTTACCCTTACATTAGTTGTATTTGTTATTTATTTTAAAATTTAAAAATTTGTCTTATAATGGAAGCTCAAAAAATTCAAATGCACTTACAATTAGTCAATAAAATATTATTTTCTCTTAATGGCAACAGTGTCGTTTCTTCTCTTAGGTACTAAGAAAAATACAAATTAACAGTAAGTAACCGTTAATAACGAAAAATGAAAATATTTAAAATTCTATAAAAATTAGATAGGTAAAATGGTGGTTTCCGTAAAGTTTCAATAAAAACTTTATCCTTAAAAACGTTCCCGAATGAAAATAAATAACCGATTCATTATCTTAGGTTCACCTTGGAGTTACCAAAATTCATTGTAGAAATATTACTGGCTAACCGAGAAATCTCAAAGAGGACGTTGAATTTCTGTATTTGTAAAATTAAAAAGTACAATAATGATTTACATCTAAAATTGTAATATATATACTATATATACCTATATCTCTTAACACTTAAGATATTTGTCTACAGCATTTTGCCTCAGCTCTAAAAAAATCAAATTTATAAAAAAGTCATGAATTTCGTTGTTATTTCCGTACAGTAAGGTTTTTACTTAAAACATTCCTCATACAATATTTTGCACCAAAATATTATTAACAACAAATATAGATGCTGTCAAAACAAGCATCATGATTTTCAGGTGAAAATAAAATAAATATTTAAGAGAATTGGAATTAATTCAAACATAAAAGTTTCAAAGTCGTTGTTACGTATAACAAATGAGGCATTCAAATAATTGATAATAATAATAATATTGTGCAAGTGTTCTAGTCGAAAAACAAATCGAGTACATTTTGTACAGTAATATATGACTAATGCGACGATAATAATATGAGACTTTCACGAGTATTCATTTAAATGAAACTAAATTATATTTTCGGATTACTTGACGTATTTTTTATTTTTCAAAACTACATAATCCCGACATTTCGATTACTTTGCAACAATCGTGATCACGGGCAGACGAGATGAGAATGTCGTGAGGCGATGTTTGATTTCTATATTATAATAATTCCCATATTACTTTATTTTGATGTTTAATGGAGCTGTTCCTTTGTCAGGTGGTAGTAAGAGGGCTACGCGTTTGACAGTTGCCACAGCTGTTGGGATATGGGTATTGGCAGCAGCACTCGCCGCGCCAGCTTACTTTGGTTCCTATCTGCGAGCTTTCGTTGTTAATCCTACAACCCAGGTATGTTATTTCACGCTCTACGAAAACTCAGACTGCGTAACAAAATACTGAACTGTAGGTCATTCGATTTACGTTAGCAGACACGGTTTTTATTTTGAATATTTTTTCGACAGATTCTTAAAATAGCCTTTGTAAAGTTTTTTCAGTCTAACCGAAATAATTTCTAGAAATTCAATATTATTATTTCAGTAGAATAAAAGGTTTCCATAGTTAATAAATTAAGATTTTATTATATATATATGTATTATCGTTTCAAATATGTATCTTCAAATCTATACAAGTATATAATACGTCTAACGTGTAACGTAAACAATTTGAAAATATTATTCAGCTTTGTTGTTGTTTGTTATCAAGTGGCAGCCTTTTCAAAGATTGTTTACTACATACCTATTATGGATTGTTTCCAAATCTATAAACTTTGTATTAACAGTTAATTATTCCAAAAAAATACCGTAATCAAATTTTTTCAACAGTTTTTGGTATGCTACCCATATCCTCAAGAGTGGGGGGAGTCATATGCTCGCACGATGGTCCTCATAAGATTCCTAGTATACTACTCTGTACCTCTTGCTGTGATTGCACTGTTCTATGTTCTCATGGCGCGTCACCTCGTGCTAAGCACTCAAAATGTGCCTGGAGAAATGCAAGGAACCCAGAGACAGGTATGTATAGAAAATTATCTTCTTCTAAATATTTTAGCGCTAGTCTTTGTTGCCCACTCCGTTTGCGTTGGCTTTGTTATTCTGTTCAAAGAGAAATCAATTATGTGCACTATAGTAGATATGTTGACTGGCCGTAAGCGTCATCTATCATCATTTTCATTTGACTTTATATGTAGTATATACATACACGTGTTTTGAATTGTTCCTGTGCAAATTATACAAAATTAAAATGTTATTCATACAATTATTTCATCAAAATCCGGTCAGTGTTTTATATAGCAACAAACAGCCAACAACTTCACTAAGGTTCACAATTTTTATATTAGAAGAATTTTAATATGCGCTGACCGCATGATACCTATAGCTAGAGAAAATATATTTATCAAAATTATTAATTATTCTCAGAATATACGACACTACTTTATTATTAAAGATTTTGTGTGATCATGATTTAATAATTAATATTACTGACTGGGTATACAAAGACAAACCTCAGAAGTTTCCAGTTTCTACAATTATATAACCAATTTAAGGATTTCTATTTGGGATCGACTTTGATATATCAAATAACGGCCCGATATCCTTATAACCCTTTTGCTAATTTAAGAAAGGATTCATTACAATTCTGTTTAAATCCTTCAAGGACTTCAAGAATCTGCAAAGATGAAATTATACACTTATACCTATCATTTTGTCGATATAATAAAAAAAATGATATGCTTACATTCTACCATTTTAAATATATTATCATTTTAAAGGTTTTATATTGTATTAAAGTTGTAAAAGTTTTGATGTATATTAATGAAGCGTTCGTAAATTTTGTTATTGAAGAAATTTTGAAAATTTTGCAGACATGTAAAAATGTGAGTGAACGTCATCATTTTTATAGTTCTCATATTCTAGTCATCTAGTGAGATGAAATATAATAATATAAATAACATGATTCTTATAAAGCTTTATATTAATACATAAAATAAAAGAATGTTTTTTTTTATCTACCTAACACAAACCGTTGCCGTTATAAATTTAGTCAACATGAAAATTTTAAAATTGTGTTGATAACACGACAAGACATGTTATAAAAATAACAAAAAAGACAGTATTATAACCATAAATATTTATAGTGTTCAGTTTTTATGAAAATTTCATCATACTGTAAGTCAAAACTCTTGATACATATTCAACATCTTATTATGTACCTATATAATACACTATATGAATGCAAAGAAATCCCTGTTTTTTGTTGTTGCTGAAAATTCAGATGGCTAGTTTTATAGCTTATTAATGCAAAGATTTTTTTCAGATGCGGGCGAGAAGAAAAGTAGCACTAACGGTATTGGCCTTTGTGCTCGTTTTCGCGGTCTGTTTTTTACCATCGCACGTTTTCCTTATGTGGTTCTATTATTGGTGAGAAAAATTTCCAATTCGGTTATTTTCAACTGATATTATATCGAATTTTAACGAAAGAATTTTTGTATAAGATAGTACTTTTTATTAACTGTTTTCAATACGATTTATGTGTTATTTCAAAATGCAAAGTTGAGAATAACTATTGAGTAAATATAGTTTATTTTCTTTTCAAAATTTACAGTCCAACAGCACAAGACGACTACAACATGTGGTGGCACAGCTTGCGTATCGTCGGCTTTTGTTTTTCTTTTCTCAACAGTTGCGTGAATCCTATCGCTTTATATTGTACCAGTGGTATATTTAGGAAGCATTTTAATAGGTTAGTTGATATCCAAATAAAATATACAACACTATATCTGCGTATTAAAATAATTGATGAAATTTACATAGATATTCTGAATCTCAAACTATTTACTTCGTAATGGTCTATTTTTTTTAAGAAATGGGTTATTTTTCTGATAAATAATGCATTTTTCATCGGTTAAGGTATCTGTTGTGTCGCAACAGCCCAGTCCATGGACAAAGAGGCTCTCTTTCCTTGTCGACATCTAGACGGTTACATTCAAGCAGGAAGACGAATATTAGTATGGTACCGCGGACGTAAGTCAAGATTTGAATTGCTACTATGATCTTATGAATACAATAAAAATACAATATACATAAAAAAATATAAAAGTAACACATTGGTGATCAAAGGATTTTGGTTCAGTAACTTATAATAATAGAATTTCTATCTTAGAAAGTGCGTCTGTTATATCATTATAAATAATTAAGACGAATAATTTATGATCAGGACGAGTGTGGGTCGCGACAGCAGCATCCGTCTACTGAACAATGGCTCTAATCTCTGAGACCGGCGTTCGCGTCTCGCGAACAACAACGAGCGCACCAAAGAGAACTACAGCAAATGTCTGGTGTTCAAACCTGATAATGTACCGCCCTTCCCAAAGTGTTGCGAGACTGATGTGAAAGAAACTAATCTAGACTCTAAAGATATTAGTACCGAGAGCTTTTTATTGCCGATCGAAGGCTTCGGACGTGGTTAGTATAATAAACGTGCCTACACATGTTTAGAAGTAAATAGCTTAATATCGTTGTATATATGTAAATAAACTTATTGTTGTTTAATAGATGTCCTTAACTTATTCTTGTGAAAATTTTATATGTTATAAAAAGGTAGTGTAAAGATTATTTTTCATAGGATTTGTGTTTCTATATATTTGTGATTAATCACAATGGTAGCTGTATACTTATGCGTCATGCCAGTGCATGTAGGAGTAAAATAATTATTCACTGTACTCCATATCAAATAGCGCGTCATGTCTGTTCTTTTAACCTTTTACGAACTCTCAACAAATTTATTTCAACATGTCTAAAATACAAACACGTTTTATGCTTTTAAAATAGCACAATTCTGTTAATATAAAATTATAAATAATTATTAAATGAGTAAGTAGAATATCGTGTTAGTAATTAGTATACTTAGTCAAATGTAAATCAGTCAGATTAGAGAGCAGTGTGTATTAATTATTTACCCCATCACATTATTCAACGAGAGGCCGTTCAATTACGTTACTAATGATGTTTCATTAAAATATTTCATGTTTTAAAGTAAAGTAGTATGTTTTAACAATGGGGTAATCAAGAATAAAATATATTTTATGATATTGGTATTTCATTGTTTATATAATGAAATGTATAACTGACCAACTGTACTATGTATATATCTAAATTACAATATTTATATTTAAAATAGTTATAAAGGACAAGGAAATAAATGTCATGTATATAATCTCTACTATTTCTTGTATAATATTAAGTTGTAGTACTTTCTTATTGTGAACTAAGCTAAAACTGTTGCCATTTTATTTAAATTATGAGATATTAAAATTTAATGTTTTGGCTAAATAAAGAAAATTATTTGAAAAATATTTATTGTTTCAATACGTCTTATAAAATATGTTTTCAAGTTTGTGGAGTTTTTTGTGATGCATATTTTTTCAAATATTCCAACTGCAATTAAAATGTGATACAATCAATCGCTAAAAATCCTGGATAAACTTCTTCAAGTTATATTTAAACCAATATCATGTTTGAAATACAGTAATAACCGACACTGCTTTTTTGCGAGTGATTCATTTATTTTCTTACTGAACTTAGTTTATCACTTATAAGAACATTAAAATGTGCTCACTTAAAGGATATGATGACAGAATATGATGAAGGAAATGAATATTTGTAAGTTCTCTCCAAGTTCATAAACCATAATTATATACATATTTATGTAAATGTATTATATTACAATGAAATAAAGCCATGGCGCCATTTTATAAGTCACGTGCGAGCTACAACCTCATACATTCTTTTATTATTAAACTATTATTAGAAAATTAAAGATCCTTTATTACGAGAGCTGCACAACTTTCTATGTATGAATCCTAATAAAATGAATTAAACTCTTTCTAATATAAATTTATGTGGGATCTTGTAAGCTTGTGTTTTTTTTTTTGTGAATGACTAAGAATAATGGATCACAAATAGTTCGATCCTGAAGGAATGTTCTAATTATCTATAAATAAAATACGTACAGCTCCATCAATCAGTTCTTGAACTGTTGACGTCAGCGTCAGACGTTGTCTCTGTCTTTTTTTTAGGCAAACTCCACTGCAACAGTCATCTTCGCACACACACCTCTTCCGCTTTCTGAATATCTGCCTTTAATAATGTAACTTAAAACTTTATCACTAAACTTTTATGTAACCATATTATTGACATTGCAGTGGCAATGAATAGCAATATTTGATTATCCCAAAACAAATAGGATTCCAACATTATCAGACGTACATCTAAATTATTCCAAATTTGGTAATGAAATTAAGTTTAAATACTTACTACCTTACGATAATTAAGAAGAAGATATGTTTTTTAACAACTAAAAAAATCTTTTATAGGAGATACATTTTTCATAAACTTAAAGGAAGTTTAGTTCAAATTTTAAATAACTGTAATATTTATATTCACCCAAAATATAAAGTTACAATTTGAAGCACAGCTGTTGTGGCTTTGTTAACTTCAAAAGTCAAAACTCCCTCAAAGAGGATAAACGTGAAACAGCTGAGTGCAGAGTGATGCAACTTTAACAATTCATACTAACTTTGAGACTGACGAAATACCCACTTTTGAAGTCAGGATTATTCATTCTCGGCTTCTATGTCAACTTTCAAAGAGCTATACGTATGCGTCATTACGTTATAGTCAATGGATTTATATGCAACCGTTTACGTAACAGTTATTATTATTGAAATAATATATTAATAAAAAATTAAGACTGAATGATATAAAAATGATTCCATTATGGGATTTTGGCCAAAAATATAGATGAGAGTAATTTACATAATCATAAAGGGTCACAAAACGGTCGGCAAAAATTGAAAGGTCGGCTGATAGTTTTGTCCAGTCTTCGCTGTAAATGTATTTTTGGCCTTTTAGGTCTATAAAGTCCAACTTCATAGACTAAAAAGGCCTATTTTTCAAATGTAGTATTAACATAATATTAGGTTTCCTTGAAGCTTACAATAGTTTTCTTTGTAAGGTTCTTTCGTTTCAAAAATTTCTTGAACAAGTAATATTGGTTTGGATAGTGGTTTAAGGAGTAAAGGTCATAAAATTTAGATTGCGTACTTTTATATTTTCTAACCTTTTTTACTTTAACGTTTTCTGTCTATTTTTTTTAATCAAAGGCGGCAAACGATCAGACTGCCTACTTGGTGGAAGGTAGTCATCATCGCCCATGGACATCTGCAACATAAACAATGATAAAGATGCATTGCCAACCATAATTTTATAATTTTGGGAGAGGGAGAGCAAAGGAAAGGAAAAAGGGTGGGAAAAGGGAAAGGACTCTTTCTTTTTATAACAAATAACAAATATTCGGGTAAAATAATTAAAACTATGTTTCGAACATTTTCTTGAAATGCATAAGAAGACATATTTAATTGAACTAACTATTTAGGTACGAGAAATAGTCGTGTCTTGAGTCCCTTGCGATAATTACAATAATGACTATGCAGTCGATACTAGAACCAAGTTAACTACATTATAAATCCTGAATGCAATATATGGTCTTATCTTTAAATGGAATGTCCTAAGATCTAAATGACCTTACAATTTATTGTAATTTTAATATTGATTTATCAGATCTTATCCATACACAAGGCCGTTATTATTCTAATTATTAAGTTATTTTTACAAAGAACAACAAATTTATATATAGAATAATAAGTAATTCTTGCTATAAGGTACTGTGTCTATCACTGATATAAAGTTACAATGAAAAGGAGAAAAAATAAAAGTGACACAAGTATACAAAGACAATAGGGTCTTAGCGGTGGTTCGTCCATACTGATCCATATATTTAATAGCCAATTTCGTTAATACATCGGGATTTCTCATATGACAGAATCTTATCATAGTTTGGTTTAATAAGAAACGTGTTTAATATAAATCTCACCAAAAACATGCCTGTTAAAAAGGGGGCCAAGTTCCAATCGGCTAATTGTTTGCCTAAAAAAGGGGTGAAATCCAATCTAATGCCAAGTTTAGATGCACTTTGAAATCGATCATAATCATCTTCATCAACAGCATGATCCACTGGTAAACATTTGCCATTCCCAAGACTCGCCACCACACCCAGTCCTCTGCCTTCCACATCCAGCCACTACCCGCCACCTTATTCACGTCAACGGTCCATCTGACCGAAATTCACTTTACCATACACCCAACTTAAAATATGGTATAGTTGTGAAAATACGTAGGTGCTTGGTTAAAAATATCTAAAATTATAATACTTCTCAATTTGAACTTGGCAGGTTTTTGTGCTGTTATTATTTAGTTATATAATTATTTATATTTATATAATTTAAATATACTAAATTTAAATAATTAAATTAACCTGCCAAGTTCAAATTTAGAAGTATTATAATTTTAGATATTTTTAACCAAGCACCTACGTATTTTCACAACTATACCATATTTTAAGTTGGGTGTATGGTAAAGTGAATTTCGGTCAGATGGACCGTTGACGTGAATAAGGTGGCGGGTAGTGGCTGGATGTGGAAGGCAGAGGACTGGGCGTGGTGGCGAGTCTTGGGAATGGCAAATGTTTACCAGTGGATCATGCTGTTGATGAAGATGATTATGATCGATTTCAAAGTGCATCTAAACTTGGCATTAGATTGGATTTCACCCCTTTTTTAGGCAAACAATTAGCCGATTGGAACTTGGCCCCCTTTTTAACAGGCATGTTTTTGGTGAGATTTCAATACTTTTTTTCAAGAAATCGTACATACAATCGTACTATACAGCCGTACAATGCATAACTTACAGCATGAAACATACAGCTACCATCTGATGGCATAGGAATTACCCTATGTGGTATATCTCCGCCAACCACCGAAAGATGTACAATTTCCATCGTTGGTAAATGAATAGTAGAAAAGAAATAGAGTGAATTTGTGCTTTTAACACACACAAGTAATCAATCAATAAGCAATATCAAAATTAATCCTTTAGCAAGTCAAATCAGTGATCCATTTAATCGTAATCGTAACCATATATAAGATATCAAGATATAAGTGTAGAAAGAAATGACCATCGATTCCTTATCGACTTTCATTCATATATACTGCAGACAAAACAATATCGCGATTCAATTATACCGCTAGCACCATCTATCGAAAGTAATTTATAACAATAGAAACCTGATTTTTTAGGTAAGCAATATTTAATTAAGTTATACAGTGTGCATAATGCTTATATATACATATATATATATCAGTTCTTAAGAAGCGCCCCACACTTTTTTCACAATAATATTAATTTAAAAATAAATTAACAAACAATAAATGGTATTTTTGTGAAAAAAAGCGTGATGAGCTTCATATATCACTTCTTGAGAAGCGCCCCACGCTTTTTTTTTCAATAATACCATTTATTGTTTATTTTAAACAATTTAAATTAAATTGATTTCCAAGGTTGTAAAGGTTAA